CTACTACTACTACTACTACTACTACTACTACTACTACTACTACTACTACTACTGCTGCTGCTGCTGCTGCTGCTACTACTACAACTACTACTACTAAAAGTATATGACAATGATAATGATGATGAAAAAGAGGAGGAGGAGGATATATAAAACTTTTTTACCGCTCCAGCTGCTTCTAAAGCCTGAGTGCGACCAGTTGCATCCCCAGCGGCGACTTTAAGTTGGATATAGTAGGACACCATAACCAAAGGAATGACACCAAGTGCCACTAAGGTCAGCTGCCACCCGACGATGAAAGAAATGACGAGACCAATGCCAATGTTGCAGAGGAGCTGGATAATGAAGGCAATCTGGGATCCTGTGGCCTGAACGTGAAAATTATAAGAAATAAAAAATGACAACAAAATACGATTTCGTGGTCGTAAATACACATATACAAACTCCAACCCTTCGTCCCCGTCGGGGGAGTAGGAAACAGAACAAAGTAGGGGATAGCTGGGTCTGGGTGAAGTACAGTTTGACTTTATGTCACTAAGGCGTTATGCTAGCCGTGAAGGCCGACCTGGGTCACCTCGAAACGTTGCCAGCAAAAGGGGCTGTGGTGAAACCGTGACTGGTCTAGCAAGCCGACGCGGGTAAGTTATGCTACAAAAAAAAGGAGAATAAACGGACTGATTCAAACGAGAAAAGACCTGGAAAAGTAAATGGACAGCGAGCTAGAACAACATTATAATATGCACATGGAATGCCAGCAACCTTGGAGACAAAGAACCAGAAAAAGTGAATTTCATGGAAAGAAAGAAAATAGCATTCATGTCCTTGTCAGACATAAGAAAGAGAGGCAACCACAGCAAGCTGACCCATAAAGGCTACCTCCTGATCTGGAGCGGAACACCTGAAAAATAGAGATTCAAACATGGTGTAGCTTTCACCAGCCAAAATGCATACAATCTTTGACATCAACCAGATCTCAGAGAGAATAGTGAGCATAAAACTCATAAAAGGTGGCAAAACAACAATGTACATCCAAACATACGCCCCCTGTAACGACAGCTATACAGAGGAAGATAGACAATCATATTTCCAAGACCTGAGTGACCACAATAACACCATCAAGAACAAAGAAGATATATTTATCATGGGAAATTTAAATGGCAGAATAAGACAAAGAAAAACCCATGGGAAGAGTACTTGGGACCCCATAGTGATAAAGATACAGACTGCAGCAGCAATGGAGAAATGATATTAAACCTATGCGCTGAGCACGGCGTGATGATTACGAACACATTTTTCCAACACAGCCGAAGCCAAACCAAGACCTGGTACATATGGAAATACCTGAACCAGGCATCACAAATTGATTTTATCCCGATGGGCAGAAAACAAAGACACACAGCCAAAAATTCGAGAGCTGTTCCAAACTACATCATCGACACGGACCACAGACCTGTGTGAGAAACTGACCAAAATCTACAAGGAAAACCCTTGTGAGTTTTATAAAAGTGTGAACAGCATGCGAGTAAGGAAAGATCCATACAACCTACGACATGCATTATACACGATAAAGAGGGTACCGGTAATGCCATTCTCAGCAAGCATGACATTAAGAAAAGATGGGAAAATTACTCAACCCAGATGCTTGCCACGCTCACCAAGAAGAGTTCCATCCACCGTATGGGGAACATAGAGAACCACCCATACTTCTCAGTGAAATCGAAAATGCACTCAAAACTAGCCCCAAGATCAAAGCCCCATGGCCAGATGACATCACAGTGGAAGCCATAAGAGCTTGTAGAAATACCGTCATAATGTGGCTAAGGAGAATTTTCAATAGAGCCTGGGAGCAAGGGAAATGCACAGAAGACTGGCTGAAAGCCACAGTGGTCCAACTATTGAAAAAGAAAGGTAACAAACGGGACTCCACAATGTACAGAGGCATCTCTTTATTAATTCACATAAGGAAAATATACGCAAAGATACAAGAACAACGGATAAGACCTATTGTAGAGAGAAATCTGAGCAAAGCTCAGTTTGGATTTCGAAAGGGAAGAGGATGCACGGATGCTGTATTCGCATTAAGACAGATATGCGAGAAAACAATCGAACACAACAAAGAATCCAACATCATCTTTGTAGATCAGGAGAAGGCTTTGGACAGAGTAAACCATGCAAAATTCTGGAAGACACTCGAAAAGTATGGCGTCAGAGGACTAACGCTAGATAATGTCACAGCTCACTACATAAATAGCAAAAGCTTAGTAAGAACGAATGAAGGCAACACAGACTGGTTCAAAGTAAGATCTGGAGTACGACAGGGATACCGTCTATCTCCCCTCATGTTTATAATATATATGGACACAATAACGAAAGACGCAAACCAGAGCCCCGAAAGCCTAAATGAACTTCTATTCGAAGACGACCAATGTCTTATTCACCCAAACCAACAAAGCCTCCAAAATCACACTACCAAACTGCACAATAGCTGCGAAAATTTTAACAAAAAAATAAGCACATCAAAAACAGAAATCATGAAACTGAGCCCAAACCGTAGTCCCCTGAACATCCATGTCAATAGTAAACAACTGGAACAGGTGAAGAAGTTTAAATATCTTGGCAGTACTCTTTCTGAAAACGGGTCTACAGACAGAGAAGTAGAAATGCGAACCCAAAAGGCCAAATCTGTCACCTACCAGCCCCAACCCCTCCTTTCTCACCCAAAAATCTCTATGGTCACAAATAGACGGCTTATCATCTCAATATTCATACCAACATTATGCTACCAGTGCCAGGCCTGGACATTAAGTAAAACCCACGAAAGCAAAATCACTGCAGACGACATGAAACGTCTCCGCAAAACCCTTAACATCACAATGCGAAACAGGCAGAGAAATGAAGAAGTAAGAGCAGCTATCGGCATTGAGTCCTGCCTGCGTTACATAGAAAGACAGAGAATAAAGTGGTTTAGCCACCTGTTACGTTCGCGACCTGGCCAATCAGCCTCGAGAGCCTACAACACCAAGCACTCAGGCTACAAAGGACGAGGAAGGCCACGCAAAAGGTGGACCGAGGGTGTCAAGAAAACCCTGAGAAAACATACTATCACACCCGAAAGAGCTGTGAGCTGGCCTACCATAGAAAATTGCATCTCCCCTCAACGCGTAACGGCAACAGAAGATAAAAAAGTAAAAGTATATTAAACACATGTGCTGCTGTAATGTATGGATCCATTAAATCGGTTAGCAGATTCGCGAAAAGATGGAATGGCGACGACGCATTTGAAACTAGTTTCCTCAATCAACATTGCTGTGGTCGATCAATCACTGTGATATAACCATAGTATCAGTTGAGAGTAAGTGGTTTCATTAGGACTAATCGGCGTTAAAAACTGAAAAACGCAGTGAAAAACCATTGGAGTCTGTTTTGAAAGGGCGAAGTACATTATTACTAATGCCTCGACCCATGAGAACGTGTGGCTCTCTGCTTGCACCCAATTATCATGGGTTCCAAAGTGAATTTGTTTATTTGAATCGAAGAAAGTAGAATAAGAACTACTTGTGTATAATGAAATGTGTTCCAGAAACGTGCGGTAAATAAAGACACATTTAATGACATCCTTTTTAAGTCAGTAGATTCATGTTCAATACAATGTTATGTAAATGTCTATGTATCCATTTATGTATTTT